CTCCCCCACAATAGGGGACTCTGGGCGACTTACAAAAAACATCTCTTCCTCTCCTATCTGTTCGCTTTGCAAGGAGGGGAAAAAGGGAAAAAGTCAGGTACAGGTCAACATGTACTGACTGTAGGGATGATCACATGACTGAGGGATGCCGCAAAGGTCATAAATGCAGGCATTGGTCATAAAGTTATTTTTTTCAGCACTGTTGTAACTTTGAGCGGTTGCTGAACAAGGTAGTTGGTAAGCAAAGCCTATCTGTAGTAGATAGCTGCAAACACTCCATCGGCTCACTAGTACAATGTCTTGGGAAAATAAAAATACTTGACAGTAGCAAAAGACAAAATCATGGTATCTTTCAGTGTTGCTGCTCTCTTTACATCAGTTGATCTTAATCTAGCTAATGAAGGGATCACAGTACTATTCCACACCCACCCAATCTAACAGAATACACAAAAATCAAAATACCCAAAATCATTGACTTATACCTCACCACGTATATTCAGTTCAGTGGTTAAATTTAAAAACAGATCAGAGGGACTTGGATTGGACCCCCTTCTCTCAAGATGTATAGCAGAAAGAGTAATGCAAGAGGTAGAAACTAGTTCTTCCATTAACACAATCAACCTACATCATAATCCAAAAAGAACAGATAGAAGACGCATATAGCCTAATCAATCACACATTTGATAGAATCGTTTTAATGAAGCAAATAACGAACTATATTTCCTAGATGTCCTCGTCAGCAAAGATTTTCTGATGATAATCTGGTTAAATTGATACTCAAGAGGAAATCTACAACATTTAGGTGGAGATTAATGAATCAATATTACAAAAAGAATTGGTAGTAAATGAATGTAAAAGAAGTTAAATGAATAGTTTGATAATAATTTAGACAAAGAGATTTAAAAATTGTTGGGATGCCAGCAAAGCAGTGATAAAAGATTATTTCATTCAATATAATTGTGAGCTTAAAAGGAAGCATCAAGAAAAAATTCAAACTATTTTAGATGAAATAAAGAGAAAAGAAGAAAGTTTACAAAAAGCATCAACAGATTCTGACATCTTGTATCAAATTAAGCTTTTACAACAGCAACTATCTATGTTAACTGTAAAAGAGAGAGAGACAAAATTGAAATATACAAAACAAAAATATTTTGAAAATTTTGCAAACCCTAACCCTTCTGTTAATACAATCAACCTACATCATAATCCAAAAAGAACAGACAGAAAGCACGTATAACCTAATGAACCACACATTTGATAGAATTGTTTTCCGAAAAGAAGCAAATAACAAACTATATTTCCTTGATGTCCTCGTCAGCAAAGAAAACAGCATACTTGAGACTAAAGTCTACAGGAAAGTTACCCATCCAAGTCAGATCCTCAACTGTAACAGTTATAACTTAACTGCACTGCACATTTAAAAAGTTGCATTAAAACCATATTAAGATGAGCTATAATATACTGCAGCATAGCAGAACTACAAAAAGCAGAATTAATTACTGCAAGACTTCCTTTAACACAACAGATACCCACACTACTACATCAGAAAGTGCATGTTCACCCAACTGAATATAACACAAACATCATAATCTACCAAAAGGATTGCACTCCCTTATATCAAATGTGTTTCGGTACCTACCAATAGACTCTTTCAGCCATCTGTAGTAACTAGTTCACAAACTAGTAAAGTCCATGCAAAGCATTATTTATATACCTCCCCAATCCAGACTCTGCATAATGTACACAAACATGATATAAACCCCAATTAATATGCTTCTTAATCCCTTTTAAAAATATATAAAAAATAAAACTAGTCACCTACAATTCATTATAATACATTTAACATGATGAATATAATGTATTTAAATCCATTATATGCTTTATATATGTGTATATATTCTCATAATGTATTTAATTTGATGAAATAGATTGACTTTCTTATGGTCAATTCTTGCTAAAATAATTGGTTTTTATTTTTAGAACAACTCATGACTCTGATTGCAGCAGCTCAAGAATATGAGATAGAATTTATTTATGCCATTTCCCCTGGACTTGATATTACTTTCTCAAACCCCAAAGAAGTATCTACATTGAAACGCAAGCTGGATCAGGTATTGACCATTTATCCATATTATGTAGTTTAAAATGTTAATGAGATCACCATTAAAATATAATAGTTATTATATAATTATAATTATTCATGGGCAACGTTGTTTGAGATACTGGGCACTATGTTGCTAACTTGTAATATGGATCATTGGTTGTAATCTAGGCTCATTGTTGCAACAATGGAAATCTGACATGAATCAAAGAATTAAAACAATTGTATTTATTTTTTATAGCTGACAGTTGAAATTTATTGTATGTGCTCATTAGATATTATGAAGGATTTTTCTGATTTTTTACTATGTGCCCAAGTTTTTCAGCACTATTTTTGTACTATGTGCTTACCTCAGGGTTTTTGTAAGGATAAAATTGAGGGAGGGAGTTTGTGCATTGCTTTAATCTTCAGGAAGAAAAAAAGCAGGATATAATAGTTGAAGAATGTTTGAGACATACAGTGATATAACAGTGTCATACACTGTCAAAATATGTGTTATGTGATTCCTGTATTTCTCTATAAATATATGTCAAAAGAGTTCTCTTTGAAAAATAAAAAAATATCCATGAGCTACTGAAGGAAGCTGTCAGCCTCACAGTCCAGTTGCTTTTGTAAAAATGCAGCATCAACATCATTTTGTGGCTTGGGTCTGGAGAATTTTGTAACTTACTCAAATTAGTTTTCAGCTTCATGCTATAATTGAGAAATAGCTGACAAAATTAATGAACTATTGTTATTGAATGTACACAAGTCCAGTATTGTTATTACTAAAAATGTTTCCATCTTTGATTTTATGGAAGAAGTAGAAACATTTGTTCAAACTTTTTTGTTGATTAGTAAGAACTGTACTTTATCAAACATAGAAGTTGCTTAAGCAGAAATAATGTGACATAGTATTAGGTGCCTTGTATGAAATGAGGTGAGATGTATATATTCTCATTTTTCTCCTTTGCTCCTCATCCCTTATTCCTCCTGTGTAAACCTGTGTACAATTGTAATGGGAAAAAAAGAGTATTTGGGGGAAGGGGTGAGTCTTTTTACCTAAAGGATAGAGTTAAAAATAAAATAAATTACCTATGGGATAGATTTGCTGATTCTTAATTCCAGAGCTCAGCCTTTTGTCTTTCTTTTAGGTTTCTCAGTTTGGTTGCAAATTTTTTGCATTGTTGTTTGATGACATTGATCACAACATGTGTGCAGCAGATAAAGAAGTGTTCAGCTCCTTTGCCCATGCTCAAGTTTCAATCACCAATGAAATCTATCAGTATCTAGGAGAACCAGAAACATTCCTCTTCTGCCCAACAGGTAAGCTACTAAGTCAAATTCTGAATTATTTAGGGAAGCCAACTCCCTTTTGAGGAGTGGGCATCAAGCAGAGCTCTTGCCTGAATTCTGACCAGTTTACATGTTTCCTGGTTGATAGTTATTCAGATTGGCCAACCTCTTGTTTCTTCATGGACAGATTCTGATGTGACAAGGGCAGCACCTTGACATGTTACTTGGAATTCATTATGACCTGTGGACTCCAAGAAAATGAATAGGGTACTCTCTGATGCATACTTAGCCACTTGTGGCTTGGATCCATGCCCTTCCTGGTTCCCTCAGGGGTTGAGATCCATGATGGGCTGGCTGCTAGGAGATTATTAGTGCCTCATTTCAAGAAGGATTTTATCTGCAGCCTTGAGAGGTACTTCATTAATTGGCCCTCCCCAGACCCAGCCATTCCTGCCCTATCTCTAATCTTGCTTTTGGGGGACACGTTATTGAGACTGTGGTCACTAGACAGCTATGGAGCACTCTAGGGAAAATAGAATATCTGGATCCTTTTCAGTCAGGGTGCAGGCTTGGCACCCTTGGTTGTTTTTGTGAATGATTTGTTGGTCCTTAGATGGAGATAGTATAGCCCTTCTTGTCAGGCCTACCCCAAGGAAATCCAGGAGACTATACAGAAATTATCCAGCAAGGTTTATTAGCTACAACCCA